GGTCCGGGAGCGGGTGGTCTCGGTCAGTCCAAGGGGGTCCCGAGGAGGTCTCGAGCCGGTCTTGGCGTTCCCGGCGTGGCCTGGGGGACGGAGGGTCCCGGTGGGTCCTGGGTGAGGGGGAGTCCCGGGGGACAGGGGCGGCTCCGAAGGGTCCCGGGAGACGGGGGCTCCCGGGGGAGGGGGGCACAGATAGGGGGTCCCGGCAGGGGCACGCAGGGATCGCTGTCGGGTGCTCCCTTGGGGGTGTCCCCCTGGGGGTGTCCCCCTGGGGTGAGGGGTGTTTAGGGGCACCCACTCCCGGGATCCGTGCGGGTGCAATGGGGAGACAGGCTAGGGGGACCTTGGGAGGAGCCTGGGGGGCTGCACAGGGGGTGCAGGGGGCCCTCGGAGTGGGGTCGGGGTGGGGCGTGTGCCCCCCGCCCCAAATGGGGAACCCACCGTGGCTCAACCCTTGCCCGGAGCAGAAGGACCCCCGGGATCACCTGGGGCCGAGCCGGAGCTGAGGGACCCCCAGGACCCCCGTGCTGCAGGTACGTGGGGTGGGGGTGTGCCAGGTCGGGGCACGTGGGCACCGGTTCCACATCCTCCGGTTGTGCAATGGCCGGGGGGTCCTCGGGGCCCCCCCTGACCCCCCCTCGCCCCCCAGCATGGCGCAGTGGCAGGAGGTGCAGGGCTTGGCCAACACGTACCTGGAGCAGGTGCACCAGCTCTACGCGGGCTCGGAGCTGCCCATGGCCGTGCGCCAGTGCTTGGCCGCCTGGATCGAGGACCAGAACTGGTAACGGGGGGCCGGGGCTGGGGGGGCTGCACCGGGGGGGGGGCACGGGCCATGCCAGCGCTGAGCCCGCCGTGCCACAGGCGCCAGGCGGCCGAGCCGCTCTCCTCCCACGCCCGGATGCTCTTCCACTCCTTGCTGGTGCTCCTAACGGAGCAGCTGGGCAGCCTGGGCACGAGCCACGAGGATTTCATGCTGAAGCACAACCTGCGCAAGGCCCACCGGGACCTCCAGGTGGGCATCAGGGCCAGGGTGGGGGGCTGAGGGAGAGGGGCCGAAGGGGGCCTCTGTGCCCTGCTGACCCCCCCCTGCCCCTCCACAGGCCGAGTTCGAGGAGAATCCGGAGAAATTCGCCAACCTGGTGGCCAACCTGCTGCAGGAGGAGCAGCGGATCTTGCGCCTGGGGCAGGCGGGGGGGCAGGTAGGGCAGGGGTGTCCCCCCCTCGCCCCGTGGGGTCCTGGGGCCGCTGCCTCACACCCCGTGTCTCCGCAGGGGGGGTCGTCCCCGGCGCCCACCGCGCCTCCAGAGCAGGGCCGGGAGCAGCAGATCCAGCGGCGCTTGGCCGAGTTCCACACGGCCCTGCAGGTAATGGACCCCCCCGGGCCCCCAGGCCCCCGGGGGCTGCCCGAGCCCCCCTGAACCCCCTCTGCCCGCAGGAGGCCGAACGCGCCTTCCGACACCTGGAGGACCTGCAGGACGCCTTTGACTTCTGCTTCAAGGTGCACTACCAGCCAGGTGAGCCCCATCCCAGGGGGAGAGGGGGGATGGCGCTGCCCTGCGCCCCCCCGAGCCCCCCCGAGCCCTCCACCCGCCCGCAGGTCAGGACAGGAGCGGGGACCCCCAGTACGCCCGGCAGCTCCAAGCCCTCCAGGCCAAGCTGCAGAACCTGGACCAGCAGCGGCGGGTGAGGGGGGGCTGGACTGGGTCTGGGGGGGCTGTGGCCGCTCCCCACCCCCTGCTCAGACCCACATCTGTCCCCAGGAGGTGCTGGCTCAGATGCAGCAGCTTTTGGGGCGCAGCGAGACCCTGCGGGAGCTGCTGCAGCAGGAGTTGGGGGACTGGCAGGAGCGGCAGCAGCGCTCGTGCCTGGGAGCCCCCGTGGACACCAACCTGCGCCCACTGGAGACCTGGTAGGGCCGGGGTGAGAGGGGGGCACGGGGGGTCACAACCGGCCCCTGCTGAGCCCTGGGGCACCCGCAGGTTCACGGGGCTGGGCCAGGGGCTGTTCCAGCTGCGGCAGCTGCTCCGGGCGCTGAGCGACCTGCGGCAGAAGGTGACCTACGAGAGGGACCCGCTGGCAGCAGAGACCCCCCTCCTGGAGCAGCGGCTGCAGGAGCAGCTCACGCACCTGCTGAAGAGGTAGGAAAGGGGATGTAAATGGCTGGAGCTGCGTCAGGGTTAGATATTGGGGAAAGGTTGTTCCCCCAGCAGGTGGTCGGGCACTGAACGGGCTCCCCAGGGCAGTGGTCACGGCACCAAGGCTGCCAGAGCTTGGGGAGTGTTTGGACAACCTCTCAGTGCATGGTGGGATTTTGGGGATGTCCTGTGCGGGGCCAGGAGCTGGACTTTGAGCCTTGTGGGCCCTTACCAACTCAGGGTATTCTACGGTTCTGAGAGGTGGGGGCAGCACGGGTGGGGCCAGGACGGTACCGGGGCAGCCCTGACCCCCCTCTCTGCCCCAGTGCCTTCGTGGTGGAGCAGCAGCCCAGCACCCCCAACCCCTTGAAGCGCCCGCTCGTGCTCCGGACCGGCACCAAGTTCTCGGCCCGCGCCCGCCTGCTCGTGCGGCTGCACGACCGCAACCACCGCATGGAGGCCGCGATCCACATCGACAGGTCGGGGCCCCCCCGAGCCCCTGCCCGCCCCCGGGGGTCCCGCTCCCCCGCTGACACCCCGCTCTCTCTTGCAGGGACCCCCCCAAGGTCAAAGGGTGAGAGCCGGGCGAGCGCTGGAGGTGGCGGACAGGGCTGTGCCCCCCCTGCCCGGGGGTCCGGGACCCCCCACCCGCCGCCTCTTCTCCGCCCCGCAGGTTTCGCAAGTTCAACATCCTGACGTCGAGCAGCAAAACGCTCCTGGCCGGGGACAGTCCCCAGGAGGGGCTGGTCTGCGACTTCCAGTACCTCGTAGGGGCCCCCCCCCAGACCCCCAGGACCCCCGGGGCGGAGAGCGGGGCGAGGACCCCCCCCCAGCCCCGGCCCCCACCCCGGGCTGACTCTGTCCTGCCCCACAGACGCTGAAGGAGCAGAAGGACAGCAGGTCTGGCAAGGGCAGCAAAGGCGCCAGCGAGGTGGGTGCGGGGCTGGGGGCTGTGGGGACGCAGGGGGGGCCGGGGCCACGTGGTGACCACAGTGCCACCTCCTTACAGAGTCCCCTGGTCGTGACAGAGGAGCTGCACCTCATCACCTTCACGCTGGCCTACGCCTACTGCGGGCTGGAGCTGGAGCTGAAGGTGAGGACTGGGGGGCTCGGTGGGCCTAGGGGGGCTGGGGGGGGGTTGGGGAGGCTGGAGGGCTTGGAGGATGTTGGAGGGCTTGAGGGATGCTGGGGGGACTGGGGGTTGCCAGCCTGACCCCCACACCCCCGCAGACCTCCACGCTGCCCTTCGTCATCATCTCCAACAACAACCAGTTCTCCAGCGCCTGGGCCTCCATCCTCTGGTTCAACATGCTCAGCTCTGACCCCAAGGCGAGCAGGACCCCCAGCCCTGCACTGCCCCCCAGTGCTCCCACCCCTGCCGTCTCCTGCCCCGTGCCCCCCTGTCCTGGTCCTTGTCCTGTCCCCCTCCCCGCTCCTCACTAATCTCCATCCTGTGCAGGTTCCTGGTCCCTGTTCCTGCTGTTGATTGCCCCGTGCCCTCTCCCTGGTCCCTGTTCCACCCCCATCCCCTGATCCCTGTCCTGTACCTGTCCCTTGGTCCCTGTCCCAACTCCTGGACACCATCCCTTGCCCCAGTGCACATCCCCATCCCCTGCCACACATCCACATCCCCCGGTCCCTCTCCCATCCCTGTTCCTGCCCCGTGTCCCTGTCCCAGCTCACCCCCTGTCCCGCAGGACCAGCACATTTTCTCGGAGCCGCCCCTGGCACCGTGGCACCGTCTGGCCGAGGTGCTGAGCTGGCAGTTTGAGAGCGTGGCAGAGAGGGGGCTGAGCCGGGACCACCTCCTCATGCTGGCCGAGAAGCTCCTTGGTAAGGCTGGGAGCCAGCCCCGATCCCCGGGGGGGACACGGCGGGGACGGGGCTGTGCCGTCCCCCTGCTCACCCTGCTCTCGCCTCCAAGGCTCGAAGGCGTCACGAGAGAGCACCGTGGCCTGGCCCAAGTTCTCCAAGGTGAGCAGAGCCTGTCACCCCTGTCGGCATCCCCCCATGACCCTGCCCTCTCATCCCCCCCATCCTCCCGTGGCCCTGTCCCCCCCAGCCCTTCTCACCCACCCTCTCCCTCAGGACGGCGCCGGCTTCTCCTTCTGGGCTTGGCTGGACGGGATCCTGGGGCTGCTCCAGGAGCACCTCAAGCAGCTTTGGAAGGACGGGTAGGAGCAGGGCTGGGGGCTGGGGGGGCCCGGGGGCTGCAGGGGCTGACAGTGCCTCCCCCAGACTCATCCTGGGCTTCGTGAGCCGGAAACAAGAGAGGAAACTGCTGAAGTCGAAGAGAACGGGGACGTTCCTGATCCGGTTCAGCGAGAGCGTCTTGGGGGGGGTCACCTGCACCTGGGTGGAGCATCCTGAGAGTGGTGAGTGCACCCCCAGAGCCCCGGGGTCCAGCCCCTCAGCCCGCCCTGGGCACTGACCCCTGGGGGGCCCTGCAGGATCCCCCACTTTCCATTCGGTGGATCCGTACACGGCGGTCGAACTGGCGTCCCTGGCACTGCCCGACATCATCCATGATTACCACATCATGATGGAGGAGAACGTTCCCGAGAACCCCCTCCAGTTCCTGTACCCAGACACCCCCCGAGACAAGGCCTTCGGGCCCTACTACAGCCAGCGGCAGGAGGGTACGGCGCGGCCTGGCACGGCCTGGCACGGCCTGGCACGGCCTGGCACGGCACAGAGCAGGGGGAGCACCCGCCACCCCCTCTGATCCTCCTCTCTTCCCCCAGGGAACCTGACAGAGCCAGAGAAATACCTGAGACGGCGCCTCATCCGTGTGTCCTCCAGGTGAGGCAGCGGAGGCCTCAGTCCCCCTTCCCCGTCCCCCATCTCCCCATGGTCCTGGACTTGGTGACTTGGACCCCACAGGAAAGGGGGTGCCCTGACCCTGATCCTGACCCTGATCCTGACCCTGAACCCCTGTCTCTCCCTCCAGGCAGGCAAATAAGTCGTGGCAGACGGAAGAGGAGCTGGTGGTTGCCACTGAAAACCTGGAGACGCTGCAGCTGCAGCCCGGAGGACAGAGCACACAGTGGGATGGTGGCCTGGCACTGCCACAGTCCCAGAGCCCAGGGACACCACAGGCCAAGCCAGAGAACCTGGGGACACCTCAGGGAGTGGCTGTGAGCCCAGGGACACTGCAGGTGGTGGCCACGAGCCCGGGGATGCTGCAGCCCGGGGCCTTGGGGACACTGCACTCGGGGTCCCAGTGCCTGGAGCCACCACAGCCACCGCAGGTGGGATCAGAGGTCTCAGAGGTGGTGGTGCAGGTGGTCCCCAACATCCAGGACACAGTGCAAGTGGCACTAAGGGCTGTGGGGACTATACAGGTACTGCCTGGGGGGGTGGGGATGCTGCAGGTGGGACCAGGGGACTTGGGGACACTGCAGGTGCTGCCAGGGGACCAGGGGACGGTGGCTGTGGACACGGGGATGCTGCAACAAGTGGGAGCTGTGGACACGGGGATGCTGCAACAAGTGGGAGCTGGGAACACAGAGATGCTGCAACAAGTGGGAGCTGTGGACACGGGGATGCTGCAACAAGTGGGAGCTGTGGACACGGGGATGCTGCAACAAGTGGGAGCTGTGGACACGGGGATGCTGCAGCAAGTGGGAGCTGTGGACACAGGGATGGTGCAACAAGTGGGAGCTGGGAACACGGAGATGCTGCAGCCCAGACCGGGGGCTGTGGAGCCACTGCAGGTCACTGAGGGCCAGGGGCTGCTGCCCAGGAGCCAGGACATCCAGGAGCTGCTGCAGTCGCTGGAGCCAGGCTCAGGGACGCTGGAGACGCTGGAGGTGGCAGAGCTGATGCCAAACATGCTGGAAAGCTTGGACGGGAGGCCCCAGCTGGACCCTGGGCTGGCAGGTGAGTGCTGGGGTGAGGGATGCACCTGGGGATCCCAGGGGTGTCTGGAGTTCCCTGGGATTCTCAGGGATGCACCTGGGGATCCCAGGGATGCACCTGGGGATCCCGGGGGTTCTGAGGGCTGTACCTGGGGGTCCCAGAGGTGTCCCCTCAGCACTGACCCGTCCCCCCTCCCCTCCCAGGTGCCGCCGTCCTCCTGGGCCACCGTGACCCGTTCCTGCCACAGCCCGAGGACTTGGCTCTGCCCACTGTCAACTCCCTCTTCGCCTCCACCGACTTCCCCCCGCTCCACATCGATGCCAGTGACTTCCAGTGACTCCCCCCGGCCCCTCCCCTGTAAATAAACCCCTTCCCACCCCCCCGCCCGTGCCGCCCATTGCGCCGCACTCGGGAGCCGCTTGTCTCCTCCAGAGCTTTATTAGAAACTCATAAATACCCGAGATAAATAGGGAACGCGGCACATAAATAACCCCTCGAGAGGGAGGGAATAAATAGGGGGGTGGGGAGCCCTGGGGCTCAGCGGGCGCCGGCGCTGTGGGTGAAGACGCGGCTCATGACGGCGGCGAAGGAGCGGAGCCGGTTCAGGGCCAGGTGCCGGAGCAGCCCGTGAGACCAGTTGTTGCTGGGGTCCATGGGGTGCCGGGGGGGGTGGCCGTGCTCCTGCTGCTGCGGGGACAGAGGTGTCAGGGGGTCCAGGGCCACAGCTGATGGCTCCTGTGTCCCCGACGGGCTCCCTCGGGGCTCCCACCTTCCCCCTCACCTGGACAAGGCCCAGCAGCTGGTCCATCGTGGTCTCCAGCTGGGGCTGGGGCTGCTCCCTGAAGATGTCGGAGCCCAGCAGGTCCCGGTAGTGCTGGAGTGCCTGGAGGATCCGGTGCAGGCAGCGCTGCGGGGGCCAGGGGGGTGAGATGGGGGTCTGGGACCCTCCCGCACCCCTGGGCACTCTTGGGAAGCCCAGGTGCATCCCTCAGTATCCCTGGGATTCTCAAACATCCCTGGGACCTCCAGGTGCATCTCTCAGCATCCCTGGCACCCCCGGACATCCTCAGGACCCTTAGACACATCCCTCAGCATGCCTGAGATCCCCAAACATCCATGGGAGCCCTAGGCAGCTTCAGAATCCCTGAGACTCCCAGGCATATCCCTCAGCTTCCCTGGGACCCCTAGTCACCCCTGGGACCCCAAGGTGCATCCCTGAGAGCCCCAGAGCCCTCCCTGGGCCCCCCAGCCCCCCTCAGCGTCCCTGCAGCCCCCCAGCCCCGCAGCCCCCCCGTACCGTGTTGTTGGTGTCCAGTGTGGGGGGGTCACAGGCGTCGCTGCAGAGGATCCGGGGGGGCCAGTTCTGGGGGTCCTCCTCGCTCAGCTGCATCTCCTCCTGGAGCAGGGGGTCAGTGGGTTCTCCACGTCCCCCGGGCCCCCCCGACCCCCCGCACCCTCGGGCCCCCCCTCCCACCTGGATGCTCCGCACTTCCCGGTGCCCACCGTCCCCCGTAACCCCCCGGTCCCCGTGGCCGAGCCCCTCGCGCTCACCAGCACCGGGTGCGGTTCTTTGACGGTCGCCAGCAGCCGCGACAGGTCCCGGGAGAGGATCTTACAGGCGGCCCAGTCGGTGCCGGGGGCCGGGGCCGGGGTCGGGGCCGGAGCCGCGGGCGGCGGCAGCAGCAGCGGGAGGCAGAGACAGAGGCAGAGGCGGCGGAGCGAAGCCATTCCCGGTCGTTCCCGGTCGATGCCGCCACCGGCGCTGCCACCGGGTACTTATGGGGCGGCGGCAGGTGGGGAATCCCCGGGGCAGGTGGCTCCCGCCCCCCGTTACTGCGAAATCGCCTCCCTCGAAAGCAGAACCGATACCGGGCCGGGGTCCCCTGGCCGCGCCCGGCCCCGCTCCCCACCGGGACAGGACGGGATGGGACGGGACGGGCAGGAAAACCCGGGGCAGTTCCTGGCGGCTCCGCGCCCAGCGGGATGGGAGGGACCTGCACCGGCACCGGGACCTCCCCTGGGTGCACCTGGGCTGCCCCCGACGAGCGCACCGGGGAGCCCGCGGCGGTGTCACCTCGGTGGATCCCCCGTTGTGTCCCCCCGTGTCCCCTCCGGTGTTCCTCGTGTGTCCCCGCTGTTTCCTCGGTGTCCCTCCCGGTGTCCCCCGTGTCCCCCGGCCTCCCCGGGACATCAGCCCGCAGCTCCCCGCGGCCTCGGGGGTCCCAGCGGGGCTCGCCCCGCCCTCGCGCCCCCGGGGTCCCGCAGCCCCGGTCCCCTCCGGGCCGGGCCGGGACGTGCTGCCCGCAGCGCCGCAATCCCGGCGGCCCCGACGGGGCGGCTCCGGCGCTTCCCGCTCCCGCCCGGCGGGGCTGCCCCCGGCCTTCCCCGGGCACGGACACCGGCGGCGGGGCTGCCGTGGGTCTGGGAGGGGAGACACGGGGGACGCCGGCGCCGGTGGGGCTCAGCACCGCGGTGCGCTGTCCCGGGGACTCCCTGGGACCCTGCGGGACTCCGTGGGACACCAGTGGACGCTGTGGGATGGCAAGAGACTGCGCGGCAGTCTATGGGGCGTTTAGGGACGCTTTGGGATCCTGTGAGGTGGGACCCCTGGGATATTGTAGAACTCCGTGGGACACTGTGGGACTCCGTGGAACAGTGGGACGCGGTGGGACGCTGGGGACAGCGTGGGACACTCTGGGGATTTTAGGGACACTTTTGGGATCCCGTGGGGTGCTGGGGGGCAGAGTGGGACCCCATGGGATACTGTGGGATGCCACGGGCTGCTCTGTGACACCAGTGGACACGGTAGGGTGCCAGGGGCTTGCGAGGGACACTGTGGAGTACTTGGGGACACTTTGGAATCCCGCGGGGTGCCAGGGCACGCGGTGGGACCCCGTGGGGCACTATGGGGCACCGTGGGATGTCCGGGGAGTCAGAGAACAAGGTGGGACCCCGTGGGGTACAGTGGGGTGTCCGGGGACGCTGCGTAACATCCGTGGGAGCCCACGGCCCGCCGCAGGTGCCGCACCGACCGGCAGCGCCCGGGGGTCCGCGAAGCATCCGGGAGCTGGGGGGTCCCCCCGGGGCTCCCCCGCCCCGCCCCGGCCGCGTCCAGCCTTTCTGACCCCTCCGCCGCCCCGTCCCGCCGCGCCGCTTAGTCCCGCCCTGCCCTGGCGCTGATTGGCCCGTTTACGGGGCCCCGCGCTGCCATTGGCCGGCTGGCGGGCGGGGGGCGCGGTTGCCGTAGCGACGCGGGAGCGGCCCCGGCCCGGCCCGGCCCCGGCGGGACGAGCCCGGTATCGCGGCCCCGGCCCCGGCGGCGGCTCGGTAACAGCGGGCGCGGGGGGGGAGGAGGGTGGCGGCCGCCCCGAGCTCGGAGAGAGCGGCCGCTAGGGCCGGGTCCGGTGGGGCCGGGACCCCAGTGCCCCGCCCAGGGCTGCTGCCGCCGATACCGCCGGCGCGCTCGGTGTCGGCTCGCGGAGATAAGGGCGGAGGGTGCGGAGCTTAGCCCGGAGTCGCCGGGGGTGGGGCGGGGCGGG